CGAGGTTCAACAAGAAAGACGCGTATATCCGAATTCACTCATTTCCGTTCCTCATTCACCGCTGCTGAAAATAGAGGACAGGCAGACGCGTTTTTCTAGGACGGATGGGAGAAGATTTGAAGCCAGGGAGAGGGGAGAAATGGAAGGGACTTGGGATACGGGGTATATAGGGACCACGGAGAAGGTAAACGAGGGCACGGAGGGAGAACGGGAGAAGGATTTAAGGGGAGGAAAGGTAGGGAGACGAGCGAGAGACACGGGGAAACAACGGGAGACGGAAAAGAGGAAAGGGGGCTGGATGAGAACGTGGTACTCGAGAGGATTGAGCATCGGAGGGAAGATATAGGGGCGAACGGGGAAATAGAGAGGAACAGGGGTACAGAGAGAAACGGGGATTCAGAGGAGAGGGGATTCAGAGAGAAACGGGAGTACAGAGAGAGACGGGAAAGAATTGAGAAATTAGACGGAAATGAGGGTATAAGATGAAACGAAGCGGAAGGAGAAGGGACATGGAGCAAATTGAAGGGAGAGAAAATCGAAAACACGCAAAAGGGAAGAACACCAAACGCGGAGGAACACGAAATGCTCGCGGCAAAGCGCGACGGGCACGGCTAGAGCATTGTCCGGTTTTCGCCTTGGCAATCTATATATAAAAGCGAATGTATGTCTGTCTGTGGGTAACCTATCTATATATATAAAAGCGAATGTATGTCTGTCTGTGGGTAACCTATAGACCATCTATTGGAATGAGGACTGGAGGAAAACACGTGTGGTGTGGACCAAAGCTCAAGAAGCAGTGTTTCGTTCACCTTTATTTCGCGATGACTCCGCTCATCTTAACCGTCGTAGCGGAGACAACGACTAGGCAGTCAGGGATCTGCGCAACTTCCAACACCCCCCCTTTCGCAGAACCCTCAAAGACCTGACTTCATTGTAAACCTAGCTTCTTTCTGCAGTGGTTGAATTTCTCCGCGGTGAGTCCCTTGGTGAAAATATCTGCCACCATCTCGGTTGTCGGTACATGCGCGATGGAAACTAATCCTTCAGATATCATATCCCGGATGAAGTGGTGCCTCAAGTCGATGTGTTTCGTCTTGGCGTGGTAGACGTTATTATCACTCAAAAGAATTGCTCCCTTGTTGTCGCACCACAAAGTCATCGGACGCGGAATGCTGATTCTTGGGATCCCTCCGAAATTCAAGAGCCATTTTATCTCCTGGCACGCCGCTGAACAAGCCATGTATCCAGCTTCGCTCGTGGAGAGCGCCACCGTAGGCTGTTTCTTACTCATCCAGGAGATGCAGGCTCCGGCGAGAAGGACA